CCTTCCTGAGGACTGGGTGATGGTTTGGGGAAAAAGAGGCACTGACCCAAGGCCCACCAGACTGACAGTAGGGACAAGTGAGTCAGCTGATCATCCGTGAGGCAGCAACGGGAATCTGGAAGGTCTGTGTCTACCCTTGTCTCAGGTAAACAAGAGCATGGGGAGTCTTATTCAAGTGTGATGGTGTGGGAGCCCACAGAGGTTTCCTAGTGAGAGCTGAGCTTGCTTTACCCAGCAGGGCTGCATAAGGGGATGGATTGACCTCATGAGTGGTTACTAGGTGTTTGGAAGGGTCTGCACTTGGCTGTGCTAGGGGGAGGTCTTTTGCCCCACCCCTTGGCATTTCTTTAGAAAGCCCTTTAGAAGAGACAGAAGGGCCCATGTACTAGGATCCAGGCTCTCCTGAGGCTATCCTGTGTTTCTGTCTCTCTCTCTCTCTCTCTCTCTCCCCTCTATATTTCTATCTAAGTCTCTTATCCTTCACTCCTCAAGAGTACCCTGGGGAAAAAAGGTGGGGCGGGCCCCCACATGATGGCTCTTTCTAATAAGCTGCTTTATGGAATAGAGAAAATGGAGAGGGCTTTTTGTATGTTCATGTGCACATATGTGCTGGTGCCTGTGGAGGCCAGCAGAAGGCATTAGATCTCCTGGAGCTAGAGTTACAGGCAGTGGTGAACCAGCCTGTGCAGGTGTTGAAACCTGAACTCGGATCTTGCAAGATCCTTGAGAGTTCCTCGTTGCTGAGCTATTTCTCCAGTCCTGGGTTAGTGCCCCTGTTTCTAGAAGCACAGAGCAAAGGTGAAATCCCACATTATCAGTACGCAGGAGAGAAACGGCAAGATCATGTGGCGGGGTGGCGTATGTTTTTCAAGAGTCTTTCTATGGAGCAAGGTGTGCTGTTGCATGCCTTTAATGCCAGCACTGGGAGTTTCAGGGAATCGGGTCTCTGTGAGCTCGAGGACAGCCAGGATTACATGGTGAGAGCTTGTCTCAAACAAACAGAAAGAGTTCTTGTATGAGTTTATAATGTCATCAGCAGTACATGAGGGTCCCAGTCCTTCCAAATCCTGTGGACACTTGAAAAGGATTCTTGGTTATTTTTGTAGGTGCATGGCGGTGTCCTACTGTGACCGTGCCTTACATTTTCATGATGGTCAGTGTGTTTTGATGTCTTTTCCATCCTAATTTTCTGTGTGTCCTCTTTTGTGAAGTTATCTGTGTAAGTCTTTTGTCCAATAATCGGTTCAATTTGACTTTTCTCATTCATTGACTTTTCAAAGGTCTTTGTATAGTCAGGAGACAAGGCTTTTTGTCTGATATTTGATTTGCAAATGTTTCCTTCTGTTCCACAGTTTGTATTTTCAGAATCTTTTGGGCCAAGACTTTGTATGAGGTTTGTATGTGGTTCTGTTCACACAGGCAATCTCAAATACCTCCACAGGTTCCATTTATAACTAGGCTTAGCTTCTTTAAGCTAAGCTTAAAGGCTGAAATGCCTTGTTCTAGATTCCAGTCTTGAACCACAATCCTGAAGTGTCTTTGGGTGTCCCTCAGGTATATGATGGGCAGCCTACCCAAAACTGGGCTCATCATCCTCTCCCCAACCCCAGCCCCCACAGAAGCTGCATCTCCACAGATGGCAGAGGCTCCACCAGCTAAAACCCAGGAATCAGAATGACACTGTCTTCCCTCTCAGGTTGACTTCTTGTCATTGAGGACTGCCAGTTCTTCCTCCTGAACATTCCTGGACCCTTGCTGTCCCCACCACACAGCACAGCCCCGCCCCATTGCTCTTCCCTGCTCTACACTTGCCCAGACAACCTTCCTTGATTCAGATTTCTCCAATGCAAGCCTGCTCGCCTCAGCTGAGTTCCTTCCAATGGCTCCGCATGTGTTTAGATAAGGCCTGGGTGGTAGATCTTGAAAGTCGGTCTGACAGGCTCTAGAGTCACTGAAAAGACAAACTTCTGGCACGTGTGTCAGGGATTATCAAGATCAAGTTAGTTAATCAGGGTCACTAGACCCACTCTAACTGTGGGTGATGCCATGCCATGGCCTGAGGCCCCGGACTACATAAAAAGGAGAAAGCAAGGTGAGGACCCGCTGTCATCTCTCTGCTTGATTGCTGACACGGTGTGACCAGCTTTCTCAGATTTCTGCCACTGTGCTTTCCCCGCCGTGGTGACCGGTGTCCTCAGATGGTGATCTAAAGTGTCCCCTCCTGCCTGAGTTTCATGTCAGCTAGTCTGCTGTAGCAGCGAGAAAAGTAACTAGGACATTCGATGAACTCGTCCCTCCCAGTCCCTCTTTGCAAATTTTTATTTTATTTTACATGTGTAGGTTGTTCAGCTGGAACCTCCAGCTCACTCCTGCTTGATCCAGAAAGCCCCATTCCTCTCTCCAAACCCACCCTCTCAAAGAATCTCCAACAAAGGCACCAAAAAGCCCAGGTCCTCATTCTTGATGGCTGTGGCAGCTCTTCCCCTGAAGTTGCCAGCAGCCCCAAGACCCCACCTGAAGTGGTCAGCTTTTGACCATACTTGGGCACAAACCCAGCTTGTGGAGGACACGTCATCACCCCCTCGCCGACAAGGTACATAAGCTCCCTGCTTTCGTTCGGGCATGTGACTTCTCAGGGCCCCTATCTCTGGGACTGGAGGACTCACCCGGGAGTTGCTTTGATCAAATAAACCTGTTCTTTTACTTTTTCAGTTCGGCTTGATCTGGCTCACTGTGTCAGCGGAGAAACCTATTATCTCATTGCTGAAAACCTATTATAGGTGTTTTGTCTGCCTGTATGTCTATGCACTACATGCATGCTTGGTACCTAGAGAGGGCAGAGAAGGCATCAGATCTCCCAGAACCAGAGTTACAGGTGGCTGGCCGTGAGATACCATGTGGGTGTGGAAACTCAAATCCAGGTCTGCTGAAAGAGCAGTAGTTGCTCTTAACCAGTGAAGCATCTCTCTGCCTACCTCCTCCTCTTCCCTTTCTTCCATTCTTCCATACCACCACAACAGTACACATGAATGTCCTGGATGATCCATTCAAGGGGGCGGGGGGGGGGGGGGCACAAAACAGCTTGACCACACAGCTGCCGCCATGACAGACTTAGAAGCCCAGACACAGCTTCTGTGACAGGCTTACTGGCAGGTAACACCCGGATCCAGGAAAAGCCATATGGTGACCTCATCCAGGGAGGGCCTGAATCTAAGGGGAAATACCTGACATTCCAAATATTCCCAGCATACCCCTATACTCCTAGATAAATGTCAGCCAATCAGGGTCCCGAACCCTGGAAATCCCCTCACCCGAACCTCTGCTATGATTAAAAAAAACAAACAAACAAACAAAAAAAAAAAACCTACCTTGCCCGGGCTTGGGGCTCTCTGCTCTTACTGCTTCGTCAGACAGACAGAGAGACAAAGCTCTGAGCTTGAAATAAAGGCTCTTCGCTTTTACATTTGAGATTTGGTCTCCATGGTGATCTTTTGGGGATCCCTGCGATCTGGGCACAACAAAGAGCACCAATAAACTGAAGAGAGAAGCTAATGCCAGTTCCTTGTCAGCATGCTCCCAAGTTATTGTCCGGTTTCTAACTGTGACGATGGAGCCCGGTTATACCCGAGAATTTGGAATTGAAGATGATCACAGAGCTAGGAGGGATGTTGTCAGCCTCACAAGCAGGCTAAACAAACCTGGAGCAGTCAGCCCCAGACTTGATGTGCAGCTCAAAGACCTGGAACACGGCAGAACAATCTGCTCGCATCCTGTCAGTTTGGCTCCATTGCACTGACAACCTCAGCCAGCGCCATGGACTGTGAAGAAGCAAGACAAGAAATCGCACAGGAATAAAAACCCTCAGGTTCTTTTTCTGGGGCTGTAAAACTTTCATATAAATAAAATGCCTCAGTGGGAAAAAAAAAATCTGTAAAGAAAACATAAGTAAAACAAGGCCCATAGTACTTCTTCCCGGGACAACTAAAGCCTCTGATGATCTATTTGGACCTTAATTAATTTAGGAATCTCTTTCTCAGAGCCTTTTACGTCTTCATATGCCAGAGGACTCGGGGCGTGGTTGTGTGAACATTTCCATCCAAATGCCTGCTCGAGATTATGCCTCACTACCTCATCGTGCCTACCCCACCCCCTTCTTTTTCCTAAGACAGGGCATGGGAAGATAAAGGTGCTGCTGAGAGTAGATGAAATTGGTACCGGAGTTGTTAAGGTCGGAGCCTGAGCCCTGGCACGCCTAACAAGCTAGAGTTGTCCACCATCTGCTCTGACTGTGTCAATTAAAGAAACAAGTAACAGTGAAATGCCGAGTAAGACTTCTCCAATGTGGCCACACTGGGAGGAAGAACAAAATGTCCAGTGACTCGCTGTGAGGTTTAGGTTCTCAAGCAGAAGGCAAGTGGTATGCGTACCTAGGCAGTCCTGGTCGGGGTATGGTCCTGCACATTACTAATCCACCATTACCTCAGTTCCAGTCTCTGCTACAAGGTAGTCTGACCAGTTGCCAGACTGATAGTAGAACTGTGTGATATCTCTTCCTGGGAGACAAACTCCTCCTCTGACTGGCACAGGCTTCAGCTTTTTTCCTCCCCCCCCCCCCCCCCCCCCCCAGCCCAAGATTCCTGGAGAAAAGTCCCATAGCTGAAGAGGACACGTGTCTTTCTACAGATTATCTTCACATCTGCCAGGGCAGTTAAGTGGCTGGACTGCTCCTACCGGTACGAGGGTCCTCTTGGGCAAAACCACTCCTAGCCTTTAGGCTTTCCTCACGAATACAACAAATATAGCCATCCCTCTCCTTGATGTCAACGGCAGAGGACAAAAACTATTGGTTACCGTTCACCAGAGGGCTTTCTATACAACTACGGGGTGCCTGGACCGGAGGCAGAAGCTCAAAGCTCGGATGGGCTCTCTCCGGGTCTGGCTAAGCCCAGGATCACCCTGGAGTCAGCGAGGATCGCCTTAAACGCAGACACTAGGCGCCCGCTACAAGAAGTACCTAGCAACCGGAGCTGGGAACTTCCGGGGGACGCAGGAGTCCTCCCATTGACGGTGGCTTGGTGACGTCATCACACCGCGACCGCGGTCCCTAGTTCCCCTAACCTCTGAGTGCTTGCAACTGTGACTGTGGCTTCACCGCCTGCTGCTTTTGACCTGCGGCCTCGCAGGTGTCAGGTGACAGCGTAAGGCGCCGGGCGGGTCCGGCTGCAGCAGCCAGGTAAGCTGAAGCTAGACCAGCGCGGGAGGGACGTGGACCGGGCGTTGGGAAACCAAGCAGCTGACCTCGGTTCCTGGAGAGTGGAGATTGGCAGGGTCGCACACACGGCCCTGCGCTTCAAGCTGCCCATTCCTGTGCTGTTTGCTAAGGGACCCTTGTGCTGTGAGGCACAGTGATGATTGCAAAAACACCAGCGCCACCTGGGTGGCTTTACCTCAGTGCTGCCTTCTGTTCAGTGGGGATTGTTACAAAGATGGAATGAACCTGAGCACGCTGTCACGAGGGACTAGCACAATCCGTGAGGTTTGGGGTTATCAGAGAGCAGCCGCCCAGCCTTATCTCTAAGGTCACAGTCACTGGCAGCCCAGAGGCATGAATGATAACGATAGGCTGGTAGCAGTTAGGGCCTGAGGGGACTAGACAAGATGAAACCTGATTGTCTTGCTTGGGAAGTACCTTGCTTCAATAGCATCTAGATACGGAGTCAAACACCAGTGCTTTCTTTTAGTTGTGTGACCCTTGGACCTTAGGCAAACCCTTTACCCTATCTAAGCCTTGGCTTGTTCATCTGTAAAATTGTACCTGCCAGCCATAGTCAAGAGAAGACATCGCAGGTGGAACACTTGGCTTTCCTTTCCTGGGGACAGTTACTGTCATTTTAGTGTGTCGTGGGACTGACCACATGTGCTGGGACAGCCTTTGGATTGTGGCATGGTGGTGCTTGTATAAGACAACAGAGGATAAAATGGAAAGCCTTTGGTTTCTGGCCAGACTTGCCAGCTGGCACTGTGGTGATCCTGAGCAGGGTAGGTTGACTTGACCAGGTGAGGACCAAGAGCCCAGGACTGAGAGAGCGGCTTCTACATTTGTTCAGATAAAGACAGGGCATGCACATTTGGGCCTTGAGTGTTCCTCAGGTGCCATCACCTTAGTTTTTGAGACAGGATTTTACGTTGGCCTAGAACTCAACGGTGAGGCTAGACTGGATGGCTATCGAGCCCAGGAATCTACCTGTCTCCACCTCCCCAGTACTGGAATTACAAGCATGGACCACTGTGTACAAACTTTCACGTGGATTCTGGAGATGTAACTCATGCGTTCAAGGGAAGCACTTACCAGCCGGGCTGGCTTCCTAGCCCCATGCTGGTTTTAAAATCAAGATACCCTGAAGGAGAAGGAGAAGGACTGTGTGATAAGGAATGAAGACCAGACCTAGATTAAGACAAAAATAAGAATGGGTGGGGAAGGAGTGTGGTTTAGCTGAGGTATAGGTCAATTTAGCATGTGCCCTTCTGGCCTAGCACCCATATCATAAAAGCAAAAGAAACATAAGAATGAAACTTATCTTTAGGTGGAGCTTAAAACTCAAAATAAGCTCTGAACCTTGTTATTTTCCAAGAGATCTGGATCTGAGGAAGGCAGGCATGGCCAGCCACTTCCCAAAGTTGATGATCACTAGGTTCTTCCAGGAAGTGAAAAGTCAAGCCCCTTGCATCTTCATTGAACAGATCAGTGCAAGCTTGTGCTCCACATACAGCAGCAGCAGCACTTGGGCCCAGTAGTGAAAGAAACAGACATAGCTGTTGAACCCAGGGAGATAGCTGAGCAATGTGGAAAGACCAGGTCTCCAGCCTCTAGGTAACCCCAAGTCTCCCTGTGCTCCAGCAGTAGAAAATGGGTCTATTGGGGGAGGTGGAGGGCTCCTAGGCTAGAGCAAACTGGCAGGGGTTCTAGCTTGAGCACACGAGCAGTGGAAAGTGTTTAAGTCAGAGGGCAGCAGGATCGAGTTAGTACTTTTAAAAGTTGCATGAAGCAGCTGTGAAACCATTTATTTGCCCAATTTGGGGCTGATTCCTAGTCCTGCACATTTTAGCCCTCAGTTGGAGGGCTTCCTCTCAAAGCTAGGTAGAGGGGGCGGCCTGGCCATCTTCATAGCATCCTCTCAATATCAGGCTTGCATACATCAGTCGCTGGTATCTGTCTCCCCAGCGTGCAAGATGGCAGGGCCGAGTTGGCCTTCTGTGTCCCCCACTTGCCAGCAGTAGGACCCCTCAGGAAACACTGGTTGAGGAAAGGCTGGGGTCCCTGGGGCTAGCTTGAAGCCTGGCGTGGTCATCTGTACTCTGACTTTTTGAAGTATAACAGGGTAAAATGACCTATGTGAGCACCTCCCAAGTGGCATGCTGGGAATGGTTGATGGGGCAAAAGAACTAAGGGATCTTCATAATGGTTCTAAAGTCCTTCTGTCTCCTGGGGCTGGCTTCTTTCCTTTTAGGCTTTGATGCTGAGCTCTGGTAGGAGGAGGCTGTTCTCAGCTCTGCTGCAAGTTCAGAAGAGGCCTTGTCAACCCTCTAGAGATATGAGACTGGTACAGTTCCAGACACGCCACCTGGAAGAGCCTCACCTGGGCCTGGAGTCAGGGATTGGTGGGGGAGTTGTAGACCTAAACACTTTTGACCCCACACTCCCCAAGACAATGATGCAGTTCTTGGAGCAGGGAGAGACTACCCTCTCAGTGGCAAAAAGGTAAGTCAGTAGGCCGTCTTGACTGGTCCCTCTCCCTCCTCCCATCTCTCTCCTGCCCTGAGAGTCAGAATCAGCAGGCGCCTCCTTTGCCCACTGTTTTCATTTTTACTTGTTCTTTTAGTAAAGAGCTAATAGGGTCTTGCTATGTAGCCTAGGCAGGCTTTGAACAAGAGAACCTCCTGCCTCAGCCTCTTGAATGCTAGGACTGAATTACAGGTGTATATGACCATACCCAGCAGAAGCCTTAAAAGTCTTGTATAACAACACCCTCAATTTACAGAGAGGGAAACTGAGGCTCAGGGAGGATGATGAATTCATTTGGTTGTGGAGCTAGGACCTTACCTCATTATCTGCCTTCCTGAGAAGCTAAGTGCCTCCCACTGGAGGGGCCTGCAACAAGGTCCCAAGAAAGGCGTCGTGGGAAGATTCAGGTGTGATTCAGACCCTCAGAGGACAGAGATTCCAAGTTCGTGCTAGATTAACTGGGAGTGGCCCTGACACCAGCTATGGAATCGGTCTAAGAGTCAAAGAACAGTAGATTATTTATTTATTTATTTATTTTTTGGTTTTTCGAAACAGGGTTTCTCTGTGTAGTTTTGGAGCCTGTCCTAGATCTTGCTCTGTAGCCCAGGCTGGCCTCAAACTCACAGAGATCCGCCTGCCTCTGCCTCCCGAGTGCCAGGATTAAAGGCGTGTGCCACCACCGTCCAGCTCAAAGAACAGTAGATTAAAAGTACTTTAAGAAGGTGTTTTTACCCAGTAGAGTGGCAGAAATAGAAATGTTTGACAGCCCAGTGTCGGGGTCACTATGGTTCCAAATGGTCATTTTCTTAAAAATGAGAAACCGCTTCCTTTCCTGTTATTAGGAGCCAAGAGTGTCAGCAGTGTAGGAGAGCAGCCATGAGGAGGAGGGACTCTGTTCTAGGGGACACCAAATACATGGCCAATTGTTAAACTCCATATTGTACTCTATCGTTCATACACAAAACAATGAAATGAGACGGGTATTCTACTGCGGCTGGTACAAGCTATCCAGTACACACAGGAGTTGTCTTCAGAGAGGGACATGAGTGACCAGAAGGGGTGAGAGAGACCTTTCCACTTAACCCCGCCTGTACCTTTCATATACTTCTAAATGAACAAGAATTACTCAGGAAATAAACACTTGATGAGTACCACCATGCTTTGCTGTAAAAGGACCGTATGTAGCTGGCTTTGAGTCTTACACTGATGGGTGAAAGATCTAGACAATGAAAAAGGCAAGTCATAACTGCTGTGGGCCCTTCCCAGCTGCCCTGGGATTCCCAATCTGTTCCCTGCTAGCCCTTCTTCTGCTTGGTCTCTACAGAGCCCTGGATACCCAGCTGCCAATCCTCCCTCGGTCGCAGGTGACCTTCCTGGCCCCTGTCACCCGGCCAGACAAGGTGGTGTGTGTGGGCATGAATTATGCAGACCACTGCAAAGAACAGAATGTGCGGGTGCCCAAGGAGCCCATCATCTTCAGCAAGTTCTCCAGTTCTATTGTGGGGCCCTATGATGAGATCATCCTCCCACCAGAGAGTGAGGTCAGTGCTTCCCACCACCCAGGTGGCTGTGGTCCAGCATAAGGGGCAGGCCCCTAGAGCGATGGTTCTCAACCTGTGGGTCATGGCCCCTTTGGGGTCAAATGACTCTTTCACAGGGATCACATATCAGATAACCACATTACGATTCGTAACAGTTGAAAAATTGCTGTTGTGAAGTAGCAACGAAGCAATTTTATGGTTGAGGGTCATCATAACATGAGGAAGTGTATTAAAGGGTCACAGCATTAGTCAGTAGTGCACACTACACAGAAGCTACAGAGGACTGTACTGTACTAACACAGTCCGGTGTGGGTGACAGGAGTAATTAACTGACACCTTTTCCCAATCACAAAAGTCATTTTCTGCAGTGAAAGTGTATTAATGGTCTAGGTAAAGCCGTCCGTACACTGCTGCCCGTGCTCTGGTGTTCCCATCTGGCTGCACGTTTTCCCAGTTACCTGTTCAGCTGTATTTCTGCCACACGTGCGCCTTGTCCTGGACTCCACCAAGAACACCTTTTCATCCGTCTTCTCCCTGACACATTTGAGGGTGCCACATCGTTTCCTTTCCTGACATTTCTGAAGAACTGTTTCCTCCTAGGGTGCCTGTGCTCAGTTTGCCTTATTTCCTTGTGATGGTCATTTATTCTCTCAGCCATAGCTGGCCTGTGGCGGCCGGAAGAGGAGGTAGCAGTCCCTGGAATTGGAGTTACAGATACTGTGTGCATCTGATGTGGGTGCTGGGAACCAAAGCTGGGTCCTGAAAGAACTGAGCAGCCTGTCCAGCCTCTAGTCAGTAGATCTCTCCCTCCCTTCCTCTCTCTCTGTCCCTCTCTCCCTCCCCCTCCCCTCCCATCCCCTCCTCTCTCTCCCCCTCCCTCCCTCCCTCTCCCTCTCTCTGGCTCACACTGTTGGCTGCCTCCTATCTCACTGTAGGAGCGCTGGGATTACAAATGTGTGCTGCTGCATCCCGCCTCTCACATGTGTCCTAGGGACTGAACTTTGAACTTGGGTTTCAGGCGGATGTGGCCAGCACCCTTACCTGCTGAGCCATCTCCCTGCCCCGCCTTGTGCTTTTAGTTTTCCCTTGAAGTCTTCGTTTTTCTTCTTACTCAGTCTGGACGAACCCACTTCGGCCAGCGGACCATCCTGGTGCTTTCCACCCCGCTTTGAGCATGTCCTTACGTTGTGGCCTTCACTGAAGGCTCTTTCGTGTTGTCTCCTACACTAGTCAGCCATTCCCTAGGAGCCTGCTTCTTTTAGTGCATCGGTAGCTCAGGCTAGCACCTGGGTTCAGGTGAACTTCTGTCAAGTCTTGCCATTACCATTAAAAACAGTTAGAAAGACTAAATTCTAAGTTCTTTCCAGTTGCATTTTGCTCACTGGGAAGAGGCTGGCATTAGTTCATGTTTTGTAGCCACATGCATTTCTTCCTTGTGAATTGCTTATTTAAGCCCCTTACACAATTTATTCTGGGATCTCAAGCTTATTAAAACGAGTTAACACATTATAACACATACATAGTGTCAGGCACACAGTAGAGTTACATATTGCTGTTACTGCTTGGCATCACTCTTCATCCCAAGTGTCAAGGGTGACTTTTTTTTTTTTGTTTTGTTTTGTTTTTTGTTTTTTTTGAGACAAGGTTTCTCTGTGTAGCTTTGCGCCTTTCCTGGGACTCACTTGGTAGCCCAGGCTGGCCTCGAACTCACAGAGATTCGCCTGCCTCTGCCTCCCGAGTGCTGGGATTAAAGGCGTGCGCCACCACCGCCCGGCTCAAGGGTGACTTTTAAACCCCAGACGTTGTTGATCTCCTAGTCACCTCCAGTGGTGCCGCTTGTCACTGCCCAGAGCTTACGGGTCAGCGAGTCACACCCACATGGCATTCACTTCACCCTGGTCCCGGAAGCTGGGGCCTGCCGTACAGCACCACAGCTCCTTGTCCTCTCCCACTTTGCAGGAGGTGGACTGGGAGGTGGAACTGGCCGTGATCATTGGAAAGAAAGGCAAGCACATCAAGGTGAGGTGGAAGGGAGCTCCCGGCCAGGGAGGGGCAACAGTCTCGACCCTGCCCTCGCTGGTACTGACCACTCCAGTGGCGCCAGCTGTCTTACTTACACTGGGACGTTTTTAGCACTTTCACTCCCCTGCCTTTGGCTAGCGCTGGTGCTAGTGTGTGATAATGGCTTTGAGATTCTTCGTTCTAGGGATTGTCACCTGTGATGTGACCTGTCTAGCCAAATCTCCTGCCCCAACAGGCCACAGATGCCATGGCTCACGTGGCTGGCTTCACTGTGGCTCATGATGTGAGTGCTCGGGACTGGCAGATGAGACGCAATGGAAAGCAGTGGTTACTGGGAAAAACCTTTGATACTTTCTGCCCCCTGGGCCCTGCCTTGGTTACCAGGGACAGCATAGCAGGTAGGTTGCTAGTCTTTGCCACTTGTACCCTCCCGTGTGCAATACCCGAGTGTCAGGAGAAAATAGTGCTCCGGCAAGGACTGTGGTTACAAGTACATGTGGAACTTCTTCCAGAGCCCCTTAGAGGGAACACAGCCGCAGCTGCTGTGAAATTACATCCACAAAATGAACTGCAGAGAGCACTGTGCTTGGTGGGGGGCTTTCTCCAGCCTCCCTATCTGGAGTAGTCAGTCCTTAACTGAAGGGAGCTAGGCTGGCTCTTGAGCGTGGTGGAGAATGGCTGTGGTGAAGCCTGTTCCTTTTTCCTAAGGGAGATGGGGGAGCACCAACAGGACCGTGCCCATCCACTGTGCACTCATCCGTGAGGATTGGCATAGCTATGTGGGTGAGCCCCTCAGCACAGCAGTGCCTCAGAAGCTGTATTCCAGCTCTGAGAGGGGTGTAAGATAGTTTGGGTAGACCATTATCTGCTGCTCTGTTATCCCTGTTGCTTTGGAGATGTTAAGTCATTTCAGATCTAGTTACCAGCCTCTGCTGGGGATTGATGCCCTTTTTTTCTATTTTTTTTTATTTTTTTCTATTTTATTTTATTGTGAGCTATTTTAAATATGTAGAAAAGATAGCCGGCGGTGGCGGCGCACGCCTTTAATCCCAGCACTCGGGAGGCAGAGGCAGGCGGATCTCTGTGAGTTCGAGGCCAGCCTGGGCTACAGCGCGAGATACAGGAAAGGCGCAAAGCTACACAGAGAAACCCTGTCTCGAAAAACCAAAAAAAAAAAAAAAAAAGAAAAGAAAAAAGAAAAGATAGTATAATTGATAACCATGACTGCACTATTTAAAACACTTTATTACATTTATTTTTGTGTATGTATATGTGCATGCCATGGTACTTAGATAGAGGTCAGATTTTCGGGAGTTGGTTCTCTTCTTCTGCTGTGGGTCCCAGGGATCAAACTCAGGCCCCCAGGCTTGGCAGTAAGTGCCTCTACCTGCTGAGCCATCTTGCCTGGCCTGCATGCCCATTTTTTAAAGGCAAATTCCTCAGCTGTTTTTCTCCCTGTTCAGAGTCTAGAATGTCCCTCCTCTCCTCACTTAAAGGGCTACAGCTGTTGATGGAGGAATTCAGGGAATTCCAGTCTGTACAGGAAGTCCCAGTGTAAAGTGCTAAGCCAAGGTGGGCAGACATGCTCCCTACATTTTCCTCTTTCCTTTGGGGCTGGGTGTAGGGGGTGCATAACCTCACAGTATTATTTTGAATTCCAGATCCACACAATTTAAAGATCTGCTGCCGAGTGAATGGGGAGGAAGTCCAGAGCAGCAACACCAACCAGATGGTGTTCAAGACTGAAGACCTGATAGCCTGGGTTTCCCAGTAAGTGGGTGGAGCCTATCACGGCCAGTCCCACCATGGCACACCTGGAAACTCTCAGGCCACGGTCTTACCTGGCCCTCTGCTTCCCCTAGGTTTGTCACTCTTTATCCGGGGGACATTATCCTGACTGGGACTCCTCCAGGGGTTGGTGTGTTTAGGAAGCCTCCTGTCTTTCTCAAGGTAAGTTAGTTTAAAAGAGGAAATGGTAGAAAGAGAGCTAGGGAGGCCTGGCAGGTTTGGAGCAGCCTACAGGAGTGAAATGGGGAGAGACTGTTCAGGAGCCAAAGGCTGACATCCTGGTGGCCTGCTGTCTTACAGAAGGGTGATGAAGTCCAGTGTGAGATTGAAGACATCGGTGTCATCATCAACAAGGTGGTGTGACGGCATGCCTGTAAGCACTGGACTTTCACTCCCATAAAGCTCACCGCTGGCCCTGCCCACTTGAGGTGCTCTTAGGTAGACCTTGGAAATAAACTTTCTCAGAGTTGCAGCTCAGCTTCTCCTGTCTTTTAGTCCCCTCCCCCCCCCACACACACACACTCTTCCCCACCCCCGAAGGTGTGCCATTTTCACAGAGCTGAGTAAGGAGGGAGTAGATACTGGACACATACTTCAGGCTTAGGGAAGAAACTAACCTAGTGTCTTTATTTATCACACCAAATGATGAGTAAACATGGCTTTTCTAAGTCCAGGTTAGCTGTGTCCTGATCAGGAGGCACACTTAAGTTCTAGGCTGACAAGTCCCACCAGGTTCTACTTTCTGGTTCTAACTGCAGATGAACTGTCGGATAAATTGTTCCAGCTTGTCCTGGTTGTCCCGGCTGGCAAATGTAGGGGACAGGTGGAGCTGGGGTCCTGCAGGGCTAGGCATCTGCTGCAGTACCTAAACCATAAGACGAACTGTAAGCACCCTTGCTGAGGGGACACTGCCTTCCCCCCCCCCCAAAAAAAAAAAAAAAAAACTTGTAGTGATGCCTCAGCGCCTGAGTGTAAAGTTCTAGCAGCCCTTGGGGCTGGGGTAAGGTCAGGGACAGGCTGGTGATAATGCCTCTCTTACCCCCAGGTCTTTGAACGTCCAGATAGCACTGATAGCGAGGTTTGGGTCTGCACACTCTGGAAGGAAGAGAAAGAGTGAAAGCTCTGAGGCAAGCCAAGGAGCCACTGGGCAGGGCTTTCCTCCTCTTAAAGGAGAACCAACTAGGGCCTGCATGTGACTGAGCTCTCTTCCATGGTGTCATGCAGCCATTGCCCAGCAGGGGGCAGCAGTCACCAGCAAACCTGTCCCCTCCAGGGAGCCTGGGATGGGGCTTGGAACTCACCAAAGATCCCTTCTTCTTGGGCACAGGCCTGTAAAAACTCGAACAACTGCTCCGAGTAGCCCACCTCTGCAGGAGAGATTAGAGCCAGACCCCAGCTCTGTGGGACTGAGCCTTACCCTGAAGGGGGTACTTCCTTACTGCCAGGGGGTAAAGGGTAAGGCTTACCTGAATCTGGTAGCTGCCCCAAGTGGAGGAAGGCAGCAGCCTGTGCGAAGGCTTTGAGTATCGGACTGAGCAGGCGGCAGAGGAAGAGGAAGAAGTCAGGGCAGCGAGACTGCTGGCTAAGCTGGAGAGGGGCAGACCAGAGTGAGGAAGGTAGGCTCCCAGGTACCTTACCACCTCCACTGCCTCCCCAGGTAGCTCCTCCCAACACACCCTGAAGCACCGGCCCCCTGGCTCCTCAAAGTCATCGCTCTCACTGTCAGTGAAGTCCCCGCTTGGTTTCCACAGCAGCTTTGCACTCAGATGCTGTCTTCCCGTGTCACAGGCTGGCCGGGAGCCTGGGCTCTACGAGTTGGGAGTTATTGGCCCTTGGTAAGGCTGGGCAGGAGTCAGCTCTACAACCCTCAAACCTGGTCCTGGCTCTAGCAGGTGAAAGTAGGTCTGGGAAGCCCAAAAGGATGCCCAGAGCTACTTGGGCCAAGTACCCAAGATCACTAGGCAATGTGAAGAAGGCAGGAGGTGTGAAGAGACCCTTAGAGCTACACATGCAAACTGGCATGACACACGTAAGCCCAGGGTAGTGGAGACAGGCTTCCATGTGCTGGGCCAGAGGAGCAGCCCAGGGCATTGGCACTTAGGGTGGGAGCATACCTCCTCAGCAACCAGGAGCCCACACTGGATGAGCCGGTCCAGCACTTCCTGGCAGTAGCAGTAGGAAGACTGGCAGGGCTGTAGGAAGAGAAGCACCAACGCCCTTCAGAGAACGTGCCCCCTGGGGGTGGGGGCTGGCAGATTCCTGACCAGAGGCAGTTGGAGGTCATGATGACAAGGCCCAGGGCCCTGCTGAGCTGGGGGATCTGACCTGGGGCAACAGTAGGTCTTGGGGTAGCAGGTGCAGCAACAGTAGGATCTGGCGGTACAGTTCATTCTGACTCAGCAGCTCTATGCCCTGCAGCTCCCAGGGCCCCTCAGGTGGTACTCTGCGGGCCAGCAACCCCCGCACTGCACAGGCTGGCAGAGAAGGAGGCCTACTTAAGGAGGGAACCATTCCCTTCTCCCCTGCACATTCATCCCAACCCTGCAGAGCCCACTGACTCACCACCCACAGCTTCGCTCAGGAAGGTGGGCAGCAATTCCATACTCAGACGTGCTAGATGGGTGAGGCCTGGGCCAGGCCGTGGCACCACCACCAAGTCCCCCTGGTGGACACGCAGCAGAACCAAGTGTGCCCTCAGCAGGCTCAGTGTATGTTGGGCCAGGCACCGCAGTTGCCCAGAGAAGCCCACATCAAAGCCACGCAGCAGTGTCTCCTCCGTCAGCCATGAAAACTCCCCCAGGAGCTGTGACAGGACCACACCCTGCGGCAAAACAGGCCTGAGCAGAGGGCCAAGTGCTGCCCTTCCCTGGGCCCCACCACACAGTACCCTACCTTTTGGTGCTTCAGCAGTAGGAGTGTTGCCATGATGGCTGTGCTCATCACTGCTGAGCTGGCCACACTGGCTGGGGAGGAGGGGAAGGTGGAGATGTAGGGTGCTGTCAGGGCCTAGAGAGGCCTAATCTCTCCTCTACCATTTGACAGATCTTCCCAGCCTCACAGCCCCAACTCCACCCCAGCAGGAGAGAGCAGGTTCCAGGAAGTAGTTATTACATGTGCTGTGAACCAGACCCACTCGGGAAACAGTGCTAGAGTGACATTTGAGAAGGCATTAACAGACACTTAAGAGAGTGCCTCTGCAGGCACACGGTGCTACTCCACAGTCACATCCCACTTACAGCTAAGGACACCAGTTGAGGGGCATCTGAGGTGGGGCTGGGTTGGACCTGACATGGTCTCCTGCACAGCTGCCTTTGGCTCAGATACTGAGTTCATCTGCTCCCCCTCTCCCTGGACACCCCACTCTTTCGGTGTCCTAAGTGTGCCACAAAGGAGGTCGGGAGGTCAGGTGCTGAAAACCATGGGGTCCTGGTAACTGGCCCTATATAATCCACATACACCACACCCCAAAGGTGCAGATCTGGGTTTCCCTCACCACTCAGGACATGCCGGCTCAGTCTTCTGACCAGGAGCTGGTCCTCCTCTTTGAGGGTCAAGAGGAGGCCAGTTGATGGGGTCCACTCCTGCTCCTTCTCAGTGTCTGGAACAACACTACTGGAATAGAGACACATCAAAGAATGAAACCAGACTAAAACGTCAGTCTAAAGCTTTCCAAAGCTAAAGCTGTTTCCCCCAAGTCCTGGGAGAACTCAGAACCCTCTCCCCTCCCAGGCCTATGTGTCATCCTGCACTTAGACTGTAGGGAAGTGAGTGTCTGGGGCTGATGTTCTGGGATGGCAGGAGTGACCACTAGTTGAAGAGCCGTCTGCCTCCCCTGAGACCCATACATCTGTGCTCCTTACCATTCACCTAGCACAATGGGCTGTAACAAGTGTTCCAGGGTCTGCCTGCTACCCCAGCAGCTTCTAGCATTGATGGCGTATTCCTGCCCAGGATAAAGACGTGTGGTCTGTTCTTGCCCCCCATGAAACCTGCACACAGACCATCTAAGACAGGAAATACTATCCCTACAATGGCTTTGAAGGCCAAACAAACCACCACAAAGACTCTCCCAGCCTTTCCCAACTGCTTTCATACCTGGAGGGAAAATGGCTGGGCAAGGTGCACCCGGACACAGGCTCTACTATTGCAGCCCCAGCAGTTATACAGTTTCCGAAAGACAGCCAAGGCTCCTGTCCATAGCCCCAGGGGAGCCAAGTCCTGCAGGAAAGGAGAGGCCGCACAGGTATTCTTGGCCAAGTCTCAGGGCTGCTACCCATTTTGCCCTCCAGACTGCTCACTGGTCTTCTCCAAGCTATCTTTTCACCCATGACCTCCCTTGTAGGGTCTGGTGATGGCAAAGACCTTGGGGACAGTTCCTTTACACACACTTCATATCCCAATTTGACTTCAGTCCTAAAGGAGTCCGATCATAGAGCATATTGTGCCACCCAGAAGTGGTGTCCACTTGGGGTCCCCAGGAACAAGAGGGTCTCACGTGGTTCATGTCACATGGTGCATCTGGAACCAGGTCATAGGCAATGGCAACCGGTACCAGTGTGGCATCTGGGATGATGCCTTCCTGGACCACTTGGACCACCAGTCCTAGCCAAGCCTGGCCCAGGGCTGAAAGCCTGGGCCCTGGGTACCCAGGGGGCTCTTCAAGGAAGATGAGCAGAGGCTGCCCACTGGCAAGCAGCTGCTCCACAGTCTAGAAGGGGAGAGGAAGGGTGGCTAGATCAGAGGCAGACCCCTATACGCTTGGCCCACCCCATACATAACCACTGGGAACACTCACTGCACGGACCACAGCCCTCGCAAGGATGCCGTCTGAGCTGTCCAAGGAGAGGTTGGCCTCGGGGGGCAGGAAAAGTCCCCCAAGTTTCCTCAATAGAGCTCTGTGAGTACAGGACAACATAGTGAGCAGGGGCTCTGGAGGAGAGACTGGGCCCAGAGGCCTGTCAAGAGCCTTGCCCCTCCCAGGCATCTAGACACTTGAAGCAGCCATGGCCCAGGGACCCATAGCCAACCATCCGGGTCTACAAGCTGGCCTGTCATATGGCTGAAAACAGACTAAGGCGGCAAAATAACTTCCACCCCCCTGCTCCAGCCTGGGATTTCCCTCCTGTCATACCTGAGAGCAGGAGAGCAGGTGCGGGGGTCCAAAGCCACACGGACCACACCCAGGCCTTGGGAGAACAGTACAAAAGGCAGCAGGAACCCATCCAAGAGTGACTTGTGTGTAGAAAGGAAAACAAGCGGCGAGCCCTGCTCCAGAGACAGCCAGAAGGAGGTACCCACCATAAAAACACAGCCAAACCCCAGCACCTCCAAGTCCCAGAGCAGCACTGGAGAGGGGTGGGTTCTCCAGCACATTTCCCAAAGGTAGAGTACCCACCATAAAAACACAGCCAAACCCCAGCACCTCCAAGTCCCAGGGCAGCACTGGGGCGAGGGGGGGGAGGGTGGGTTCCCCTGCACATTTCCCAAAGGTAGAGCAGCCTGCCTAAAACTTTTTGTTTGTTTTTTGTTTTTCAAGACAGGGTTTCTCTGTGTAACAGTCCTGGCTGTCCTGGCACTCAATTTGTAGACCAGGCTGGCCTCAAACTCATGGAGATCCACCCATCTCTGCCTCCCAAGTGCTGGGATTAAAGGCATGTGCCACCACAGCCCAGCCCTTCCCACAACTTTTAAGGTAATGCAAGGTGTAACAGTTGTTGAAACTGAGGGAAAGGCAGGAAACCCTGTAGGAGCAGGACTATGAGGCATGGCAGCAAGGCTAAGAGCTGTGGATTTTTCTAACAGCTGATAGGGCCTGGGTTTGCCTCTGCTCAGGCCATCCAAACCTATCCAGTATGGTCTGGCTTACCTCCTGGACAGCTTTATGGACCATCTTCATCTGCCCCTTGTGAAGCTGCACATTCAGGAAGAGGCGGTTCAGGAACCACAGCAGTGCCCAGCTGAACAACCTTAGAAGCAGTACCAGCTTGAGGTGCAGCAGGGGGGTCACGTTCCACAAGGTTCAGCCCCACAGTACCCCAGGTTGCCCAGAACTACCCTAAGGCAAGCAGCATTACTGCCCACACTGATCAGGAGAGGTCACAGCCTGCTTAACAGCAGACAGCGAATGCTAAAGGTGCTGCAGCTGCAGAGGTCCTGATGCCACAGGCCACACCTGTGAGGCCCTGACCCGTCCATCATGGCCTCATGATGCAGCTGGCTCACATCAGACACGAGTCTGCCTCTACTCATCTAAAGGGAGACCAGAGGACTCAGAGCCTTTCTAGACAGGACCCAGTCAGCTTCTGTTTACCACCTACCAGGAAAAATAGAAAAGGGAGACAACAAGGAGAGCAGGGCTCACTGCATTTGCTCAGTTGCCCAGTAGGGGACCATCTTGCTACCAAAGTAGGTAGAGGAAAACATGTATGTAGACAAGCAGCAAATCCACATCCAATGGAAGCGTTAAATGGGGGCAATTCTAAGAAGCAGCGATATGTGGGCACACTGGGGAAGACCATACGCCTATAAACACTGTACTCTAAGGCCACCTGACTACTTAGGCGCGTAGAGGAAGCAGGCAACCTGCTGGACTTGTGCTTGGGACTCGACACAAGGGCACCATGAAGGCCAAGGGCCTGAAAGCCTCAGTAGTCAAGAACTGTCACAATGGAGGACTGCTCAAGATCACCAGCAGCTGAGCCTGACATAACCCTAAGCCCCCTTCAGCAGCTTAATTCATCCCCTAGCTTTAAACATAAACTGTATACTACAGCTCTGCAAATCTATGTCCTTTCTTCTGAGCTCCCAGACCTACAGACAACCAAGTCCTCAAGTCAGTTACTGGAACTCTCAATCCAAACATCTTTCCAGAGCCAATTCGCTTCTGACCAAGCCTGTCCCTCTCTGTATACATCCCCAGATACCAGGCCAGAAACAGGGATCTCCTGTGTTTTTTCTCTTTTCCTCCCAACACCCAATCTATTCACGAGTCCCAATATTACTACCTCAACCTCCCAATCTCTTCTCAGTGCCTGTCAATCATCTCTCAATGGCACTAACAGCTCTGCAGATATGCTGTCTCTGCTCTTGATCACAGTTCATCATGCTGCCACTTTACACTTGAAACTTTACTACTGGTTTTGCTGCCCTTAGAGCAGCCTGAACTACTTAGATGGCTCTGATCTGGTTCCTTCTACCTCAGATTCTTCTCCAGCTGCTCTCTGCTTCACCCACCAGCTTCTAACCATGTCACTATTTTCTGTACACTGGCCCCCTCCTGCTCAGGACCCTGACTCAGGCTCCCCCCTCTAAAGAAACTGTTTGTTCCACTTTTACTCCTGTGCCCTCCAGGGCTGGCTTTCTTTACTTCTGGCTCCAACTATAATACTCACCCTCTTCTTGGGTATTCTGGCTCAGCCCTTGTTCCTTTCTTTGAGCAGCTGTATCACTGTCCCCCTCTTTAATCCCCTGCATCTAAATGTGCAGACCTGTACTGTATGAACCCAGGGAGGGGCTGCAGCAGGCTACCATCCAGCTACTATGGAATAATATTTGGTTCTTTTCCAAGCCCAGCTAACATCCACTCTCCAGAGGGGCAGAGGCCTCCATCTAAGGACACGCTCCTCACCGTCGTTACCTGAGCAGGAAGGGGCACAGTGTGGCCTGAATGTGGCCCAGGATGCGCTGCACCTCTTTCATCACTAGGTCAGGTGCCTGGCCTTCTCCAGACCCTCCTGGAACCCTCCCTGCGAGGAGGCTCTGCACCCTGTTGGGGTTAGGAGAACAGTGCTGGGCTAGATGCCAATGGTCTCTCCAGTCACTGCCCCAGTGCATAGCCAGGATAACATTCCAGAAGCCTTGCCTCAGCCAGCCTTGGCCATCCTGACCCAGAGCCTTTGTCACCCTTTAAGTATCCTACAAGTGCCAGACTCTGACCCTTCCTCCTCACCCAGTGTTTTCCATGATCTTCTGGGATGCATCAGAGCTGGTGGGGATGTGCTGCTCCAGGGACCACAGGAAATAGCAGAGCCTGCGAACCAGCCAACCCCGAAACCTGGGGGAAGACAGTTCAGAGAGGCCTCCTCAGGGTCTACAGAGGTCTATTCATCAGGAAGGGTTTGCACCCATCTCATGCCCCAGGACCAAGCTCCACCACAGAGAAAAAAAAGGGGGGACCACTTGCTTATTTGGACCCTAGACCCACCCCTCTTCCCCACTGAGGGGGCACAGTGGTTTGACAGCCAGTGGGCAACCCGTACATGCCCATGGGGGGAAACTTGAAAGTTTGCCTCAGTTTGCTGTGGTTTTGCAGGAGAGGACAGGGGCCCTTCTTTTTTCCACTGCAGAAAGAAAATGACACCACAAAGGGCCCTTGTAACCCACCACCCTGCACCCCTAGCTCTGGCTACCTGGTGTTCTCTTCCTTCACAAGGATCACATTGCAGAAGCCCAGATCCATTATGCTTCTGTGGAAGAGGGACTCCTACCCAAGAGGGAAAGGACAGCATGTCCTGGGGGGCCTTTGCAAGCCAAGTCTGTACCCTGCCCATCTAGCCTCTGCCTGATGGCCCTTTGAGTCTACCAGAAGGAATGTATAGAGTTTATCTCCCAGATGTCTGACCCCAGATTGCAATGTTGGCTCAGAAAGAAAAAAGCGTCATGCTTAAAATGAAACCACTGCCCCCTGTTTGGAGTTGCCCTCTTAGAAATAAGCACATTAAAATCCTCTGAGTAGGGTTTTCACTTGTCAAGAGCAGAGAACCGTAACCTGAATCTCCATTAGAATGCTGGGCCCTCTTGGCAGCAGCACATGATATGGACATGTAAGAGATGCTGAGTGCTATGAAGTCTGAGTGGACAGTGTCCCCAAACTGAACAGAACTAGTGCAGACCCAGGTATATTCCAGCCTAGCTCTCCTGAGGCTTCCTACCCAATTCTCCCAAGCCACATCCCAACAATAGACACCTGTGCATCCATTCCTCTGAAAGGCAAAGGCATGGTGCAGTTGAAAGATCAAACTTGGAAAGCCATGAAGGAGGCAGTTTCCCAGTATCCTCACTCCCAGAATTAAGCCAGCCTAAGCTTTGCAAGGGAGAGCCCATCCCTACCATCACTTACCCAGCTCTTAGGAGTACAGGTCTGGCAGCAGCGGCCCATAAAGGGTCGATACTTCCCCAGGAATGGGGTGATGGCCTCCAACTTCATCCCAAAGCCTGAGGACCAAAGGCTGGTCTGGAAAAGGGCCACAGGAGAGGTGAGGGAACACAGGGTCATTGACAGAGGGAGGGGCACATCAGGAGTGGAGGTCCCAAGAGGGCAAGTAGGAGGACAAAGGGTGTGAGAATTCCCACACTACCTCCTGATCACTGTGGTTACTCCTCTGCTGGGTTTGGGGACTGGATTTCAACATGGTATCCATGAAGTCTGTGAGATTTGTGAACTAAGCACTCTGCCTCTCTCCACATGAACCTGACCTAAAAAAGAGTAAAAGGTGGGACTACATGGAATCTGAGCCATAATCCAAGGGCTTGTGAGGTGACCCACAGTCCACCCCAAGACAGACAACAGCCAGGCCAGCAGCAATGAGGACAACTGACAGGAAACTGGAGGCTCAGTCCCATCAAGTCCCTGTCCCTGACACCAGCAGCGTCACCAGGGGCTCCCTGAGGCTGACGTGAGGAGTAACTATCTTCCATCCACACATCCAAATGTCTCCTAACACCAACTGGGGTTGTAATGGCAATTTAAGACTCTTGGTGCAGAAGGAAAAGCCTGGTTGGACTGGGCTATACCAGCAAGAGGAGCCACAAGAAACAGGACGCTCTCTCTACACACCCACCAGGTCCTGCTCAGCTGCTCTCTTACAGAAGACCAGATTATTATCTGTCTATGGAAGAGGGACTCCTGCCCAAGAAGGTCCCCCTACCCTGATCTCCCACCATGTCCATGATGAGCAGACTGGCCTAATTATTTACATTCTTTTTTCCACTCAGTCACACTAGCTGCATGCCAGCCTGAGAGTGCCTTCTTAATTGATTCTTGAGACTAGAAAGTCTGCTGGGGCTGTAAGTCATGATGCATCTAGATTATTTTTTTCTGTGAGTTCCAGGGCCCAAGGCTGCCAGAAAAGCAGCCTCATAAAGGCCTCCAGGGTTCCCATCTCACTTCCTCTGTATCATCTGGAAGTTGTCCTGAGGGCAAGAGCTGCAAAATATTCATGTGTAGACCCAGCAATTCAGGGGCATGGAGAGGACTTGGAGAGCCCGATGCCTATGACTTAGTAGTTCCCAGGAATTCCTCCGGTTCTCCTTCTCTCCCCTTGGTGCTCTTTAGCACCAGGAAGCCAAGCAGTAAACGGATCCTGATTCACGTACACACAGGCTCTGGAGACCTCACTTCAAATACATTCCCTATTTTGAAAAATGTTCTCACAGCCCCATTCAGACCCTAAGCACAGGGAGGTCCCAAATCAAGGCTGCAATGTAACGGGTCCTGCCTCGTTTGCAAGGAAGTTGGTATTCCTCAGCCTCAGACCACTCCTAACCTCAAATTCTGACCCCGATGCTAGCCCTAAAGAACAGAGTAAAACACAAGGCAATGAGCAGTTCTCACGAGCCAGTTAAGTCAAATACTCAGCTCGCACAATCCTGGTCAGTGTGGGGACATGTCTCACTTTCATTAAAGCAGTGTCTGGCTATGTTGCCCAGACTGGCTTTGAATTCTCCATCCCCCTCCTCAGTTTCTCCAGCACCAGGATACAGATGGGTCTGGCACCCAGCTTCCCTAAGTGCGGGCCGCTGGCAGTCTGCATAGATGAGCACCCTTCACCGGGGCCAAACACAGTTCACATATACCTTCCCACTGGCTATATGATGTACCTTCCCACTGGCTATATGATGTGCTAAAATGTTAAGCGTTAAGGCCAACATTTAAAAGCAGAGAGCTCGTTATATAAAGAGCGGGGGTTCCAGCTGCTGCTGTAAAAATAACCTCGAGAGGTGGCATCTCGGAGCAAATACCCCACAGGGCCTCAGCTGCGGGGAGGGAGCCCAGAGGCCACTGTCCCTTTCACTCACTCGGCGAGTCCTGCTACCCGCCCTGCACAGGTGACACTTGGTGCCTGGCTCCTGTGTAGCTCTTGCCCAAAGGCTAAAATGCAAACCCGCCCCCACAAGGTAGGCGATTCCTGCCCTCCTAAGCATCACAGAACTTCACTCCTGGGACCCATTACCCCTACGGAGCCCGCAAGGAAGCCCCTGGCCAAACCCAAGATGGAGGGCAAGGCCTGTCTCAGGGGCAGCACCGGAAGTCCATCCCTGCCGCTGTCCTCCGGGTCTCAGGTGCCGGAAGCCAGGGGCGACATGGGCCTCTCCGGAGCCACCAGGCAGGCCGCGTGCCCGTGAGGCTCGGTCTGGGTGACAGGCCCAGCAACAGGACCGCCCGCCCGCCCGCCCGAGTTCCCCACACAGGATAACAGTCCCTGCCGGACCCAAAGCCCCGCACAGCCCAGCGAGCTGGACCCAACCCAGCACCCAGGTCCCACGAAGCTCACCTCACACCTGCCGCCAACTCCCGCCAAAACAGCCGCGTGACCGGGCCAGCGAAGCCGGAAGAGCCGGCCCGGCGCATGCGCCTCAGAAGCTGCCGTGACTGCCAATCATGATACTCTGGGCCGGAAGGCCCATCCCCTGGACGTCGGGCATGCGCAGCCTGTACCACGTGATCCCAGCTGCCCATGCCAGTGTTTAAGAGTATGTGGGGAGAGGCCTTTCTGGCGGTGCTGAGGGTCCCTCTTGACCTCCCGGTCTGGAAGCGAAGGGTGCAGAGGACCCAAGGGCTGGAGGGGGAGTCTTTAAAGAAATGGGGAGGAGCGAGGTGGCACACACCTCTCATCCCAGTGCTCCGAAGGCAGAGGCAGGTGGATCTTTTTGAGTTCAAGGCCAGCCTGGTCTACATAGCAAGTTCCAAATCGGCCCAAACTACATAGTGAGACTTGTTTCAAATTATATATATTCAAATTATATATGTATATATATATACATATATATGTGTGTATATATGTATATGTGTGTGTGTGTGTGTGTGTGTGTGTGTGTGTGTGTGTGTATATATAAAATGTGCATGCCAGAAGAGAGCATCATGTCCCCTGGAGCCAGAGTTACAGCCCCCAGTGGCCCCTCATGGGTGCTGGGAACCAAATGCCAGACCCATAATAAAAGGCAAGAACCAACTCCACGAGCTTGTCCTCTGACCTCCACATACACACACAAAAGATAAACAGACGTAACGTTTTTAAAGGAGAAAATCCAGCCGAGCACCAACACTTACGATTCTGTTTCCTGGGTGTGGTGTGGCCAGCTGCCTCATGCTCCTGGTGCCATGCCTTCCCAGTCCCCTCCAACTGTGAGCCCAAACAAACCGTCTTTCCTTAAGTTGCTTTCTGTCGGGTGTGTGGATGCAGCAACAGGCAAAGTATATAAAGACCGCAGCCTGTGACCACTGTCTTCATCATGAGGCCATCTGGGTAATTCTCGGCTTTTGGGTCAACTCTGAGCACTCAAGGCACAGAGACCATAGGGGTTCCATCATCATTTCATCGTCGCCAGCAGCCCAGAAAGAGACCAGCAGCTGGAAGGTCTACACAGGACTGGAAAGGTGACTCAGCAGTTCCAGAGAACCGGAGTTCAATGCTCAGCACCTGCCTCAGGTGGCTCACAGCTGCCCATAACTCCAACCCCACGGGATCCAACACCCTCTTCTGGTCTTCTCAGGTGACTGTACTCACAGGCACCTACCCACACACATACACGTAATCTTAAAGTAACTTTAAAAGGTGGTACAATATTGAATAGATGGGGGGATGGTGTTCCCCGCCCCAGCCCCCCAGCCCACAGGACGGCTCACTGGGTTCCAGTTGCAGAACCTGGGAGCCACAGAGGCAAAGCCACATAGAAGCCCAGCTGGGCCCTGAGAGCTGGCTCCCATTCCTGCTTCTCTGTCCTCCATCTGTCCTTGAGGACATAGCCACTGTGCCTCCTCCTTTGTGCCACTTTGTGTCCTCCGAGGCCTAAATTCATGTCCACTCACTTCAACCAGGTTATGGATGTTCTTCTAGTACATTTGTGCCCTGTCTTTTTTTCCAGGCTGTCCTCAAATTTGCTACTGCAGCAGAGGATGGCCTTGAACTCCTGATCCTTTTGTCTCTGCCTCCTCAGTGCGAGGATTACCAGCTTGAGTTGTTGTACCTGGCTCCCGTGTTAACTGCTGTTTTGTGTCAACGTGCACAAGCCACAGCAAGATGACTCCAAGACTCTAAAACAAACAAGAAAAAGGCAAGCAAAGGGAACCCCTTTATTTAGAAGTAGCAAGTGGCCCCAGGCACAGGTCTGGACGTCTTCCAGAGTCACCATCCAGACAGAAAGGTGAGTTTTATGGTTGTTTGCAGGCACCCCCTCACCCTCTTAGAGAGACCTCATGCTGAGGAGGAGGAGCCCAAGGCAGCTGCTCCAGACTGGAAAGTTGCTCAGGTAGGGACAGCAGAGGGCCCAGGGCTGTATCTAGCAGAGTTCTGTCCTTGTTCTGGCCTGAGCTGCACTGCTGCTTTAGAAGGGATAAACAGGTTGGGTGGCCATGGTGGCTATGGCTGTGAGCTGTAATTTGGGCATAGAAAGATGCATACACCGTAGACATGGACCAGGGTTTGGTGCTGAAGATCCTGTCAGCGGTCGGTAGCAGATCCAGAGCTACACCAGTGTGGTGAGACCTGTAGGCCAAGTGCTATGCAGACTGATAGCCTGACAGGATCCTAGGAGTCACCCAACCATGGATGAACTTAGGAAACCCCTCTCTGGACATAGGTGCTACCCCAAAGGTCCTGACTCCTAGGGCTCAAAAGGACAAAGGCCCTCCCTCCCTGTGGTGGGGCACACATTCACATCTGACTTTTGGGTGTTTCTGGAAGAGATGAGCATTGTGTGAGCAGAAGGAAGAACAGTTGCTCTCACCCATGTACACAGGCCACCCGATCCACCAAGGGTTGAGACGAGGCAGAGGAAGGGTGGATTTATCGGCCATCTGGTCTTGAATCAGTATACCTACCTTCACCTCACTAACAATGTGACGTATTCCTCTGCTCCTATGCCAGGAGCTCTGAGGACAGCCACCCTGATGGGGTAGCCATTGCTTGGGCTTGGCCTCTATGATGTAGACACCTTCCTTCATTCCAGAACCTTCCATGTGGTCTTGTTAAACGTTGTGGCAATCCATAGCTGAGAATGAAGGGCTCAGCAGTTTGGGTGCTGGTGGGAAAGGGTGGGAGAATTAGTGCCAAGAGCAGCTCATAGTGTCTACCACCCTAGCCACTTTCTCCTGGTCACACTTCGTTCTTTAGAGGCTGGGGCAGGAAAGGAGAGAGAGAGAGAGAGAGAGAGAGAGAGAGAGAGAGAGAGAGAGAGAGAGAGAGAGAGAATGTGTGTGTGTATCTGTGTGTGTGTCTGTGTGTGTATGTGTTCTGTGCATGTTCATGTGGCTGCATATGTGAGTGCAAGTGTGGATGTGTATTAGTGTGTGTGGAGGCTAGCAGTCCACTGAAATGAATGATAAACGGCACTGGTTACCGCGAGGAAAGGTCACAGTCATGACAGAACCCAATATCAGTTTCAGAGCTTTATTAGGAGGAAGGCGGGGGGGGGGGGGGGGGGGGGGGGGGGTGTACAAGAAAACCAGGCCTGGGAAGGAGCATGTTCGGAGAGCAGAGAGAAAGGTGGTGGGGTGGGGAGAGAGCAGAACAGAGAGAGAGGGTGGGGTCTGCATCTGACCTTTTAAGGGTTCCCGGTGAACATGCACAGGCGGGCTTACGGAGCTACACCACACATGCACTGATTGTGTGACCACACCGCACGCACACCAGCGTACACTGATGACATAAGATGCAAGACCTTTTGCTTAACTCCTGAACTGCGCATGTGCGGTCATGCAGCTGGAGCACAGCAGAATCCTAACATCCACCTCATGTGTTGCTCCTCTAGAGAGGCCCTCCTTGTATTTTGAGACAGGATCTCTAGCCTGGAGCTTACCCAGTTAGCCAGGATGACTGGCCAGTGAGCCCCAAGGCTCCACTGATCTCTGCTTCCCTTCACTGGGATTATGACCACATGTCACCATGCCCAGCGTTTCTACGTGGGTCACAGCCAGAGGACTCAACACTGGGAGAGACACTCAGAGTTAAGAGCTCTGGGTGGGGAGCGGGACAGGACACAAAGGACATTCCTTGTCTGCTTAGCTCAGGAAAGACAGTCCTAGGGACTTTCAGAACCCTCCACTTAGCATTGTGGAAGGTGGCCTTGGGGTCCAGTGATACAGGCCCCTAGTGTTCCCTTCCAGGCCCTTCTCCTGACCCCCAGTCCTTTCCCAGAAAGCAACAAGCTTGCAGGGTGGGTGGGTTCGATTGTTTGGGTCCTAGGAGTTCTTTTGGTTTGGTTTTTATCCTTAGTAACACCCAGAACCAAAGCAGTATGTTTTAAACACAATAACTCTGGAGAGGGCCTTCATGGGGCCCTGGGGCATTACAAGAGAGCACTTGCTCAGAAGCAAATATCTATAATCAGTTGTTGCTTTTGCCCCACAAGGGGCATGTGAGCAGTAGCACAGAGCAGCCTACTCCCTTCATGAGGGCCTTCTGGCCCAGCCCAGTCCCTGCCTCCATCCTCCCTTGCCTACATTGTTAGAACACTAGGCAAGCTGGGCTGGGCATTGGCAGGGAGGGGGTACTGGCTCTGAGGGTGTGGGAATGACCCTCCTCTAGGCCAGCAGTTCTCAACCTGTGGGTCGCAATGATTTTTTCACAGGGGTCATCTAAGACCATCGGAAAACACAAATGTTTACATTACAATTCATAACAGCAATATTACAGTAGCAACAAAAATAATTTTATGGGCTGGGAGTCCACAACATGAGGAACTGTATTAAAGAGTCACGGCATTAGGAAGGTTGAGAACCACTGGTCTAGGCAGTTTTCATAACAGCTTCCCCAGACCCCTGCAACCTGGGGTTTTGAACACAGCCCTCAGCTTCTCTAGGGCTGCAGTGGTTATGTAACGAACAGCCAGCCACACGAGGCTGAGCTCCTGAGGGCTTGTGAAAGGGAGCTGGAGTGTTGCTTTTCCCCAGAGTTGGGGTGCTAGTCCATGCTGGTGTACTGGAGCGGAGGCTCAGCAGAGCAGGAATAGGGGGACTGGATACAATGCTTCCTGCTGCAGGAAAGCTGAGCTCAAAGGTGCTTAAACATGAAAGGAGATGTGTCTCCTATGTCAGGCAGTCCAGAGGTAGGATGGCCCAGGGCTGGTTCAGTGCTGCAGTGACATCAGCAGGGGTCCATGTTGCCCTCCCGAGTGGACCAGCTCAGACCAATTTCCCTCATGATTATAGGATGGCTGCCTCAGGTCAAGTCATCAGCTAGCAGACACTACCTCTTTCTGGATACTTCTTTTCTGCCATGTCTCACTGGGGCCAGGATGAGAATAGAACCCCTGCATGAGGGTCCCAGGAATGCCAGGTGACGATATGGTCTCTCCCTCTGTCATCATAACAAACCCCTGAGGTGGCTTAGAGGAGGGAGAAGGTCTTTGGCCTTGGTTTCCAAGGTCCCAGTTGCTAATGGGACAAACTTTCCATCTTTGAGACTCTGCAACCAAGTCTGCAAGGTAGGAGCACCAAGCCACCCCCTTCATGGGCAGGGGGAGGAAAAGAAAAAAGGGGAGAAACCAGAATTCCAACTCCTTTCAAGGACACATCCTCAGTGACCCAAAGAGACCAGACCCTGCCTTTTAATGTCCCTCTGCATCTCAGTGGTGTTGCCCTGAGGATCAAAGCTTTGGGGACATGAGATGTGCAAAGTCCATTAGAGGCAGTGTGCTCTGTGGTATTGTGGGATCTGGGATTTATTTCAGCCTCCTTTGATCTCAGGTGGTAGGACATCACTGTTGTTGGTTGTTCTTGCCCTTTTGGGGGGCCCGCCACCCAGATTCCATATAAATCACAAATGGAGGCTTATTCTTAATTATAAATGCCCAACCTTAGCTTGGCTTATTTCTAGTCAGCTTTTGTTAGCTTATTTCGTCTACCTTTTGCCTCTGGGGTTTTTCCTTTTCTTACTTCTGTAAGTCTTACTTTCACTCTTACTCCATGGCTGTCTGGGTGGCTGTCCCCTAACATCCTCCTCTCTTTGTTCTCTTGCTCTTCTTTTCCTCCTCCCAGATTTCTCCCTCTATCTATTCTCTCAGCCTGCCAGCCCCACCTATCTTTCTCTCGCTGTTGACCGTTCAGCTCTTTATTAGACCATCAGGTATTTCCGACAGGCAAAGTAACACAGCTTCACAGAGTTAAACAAATGCAACATAATCAGATGCAACGCATCCTTGCATCATTAAACAAATGTTCCACAGCATAAACAAATTAACACATCTTAAAATAATATTCTACAACACATCACCAAGTTATCTCTAGGGAAACAAAGACTATGGATGGATTTCTTTGTTTCAGTTCCACTGGGCAAGAAGAAAGTGGTCCCTCAGGAGGCCTCCACCCCAGGCCTGGGAGATGCATGCTCCCTCTGGCTCCCCCGGCTTCTATCCTCTCCACACCTGAGCAGCCTTCCCTCTGGAGACAAAGTGCTTTCCTAGATTCCTAAGAGAGGTATGTGTCCTAGTACCGTCCTGGATAGTCAATTAGACCTTAGGTAACAGGGTTAACTGGGACTGGTGCCGGCCTGGCTATCAGCTCCTCACTGGGAGGGCTGAGGCAGGAGGCCTCTTTGGAATCAGGATGGTGTTGGCCTTTGTGGGCCTGCTCCTCGGAACTGGAGGCAAGGGGTGGCCAGCTGGAACGGATGCTGAGTGTTCCGTGCTCTGATCAAATACTATTGTAAATTCACCCTGGGACCTCTCAGATCTCGATTTTCTAAGTAGCAAAAAGTCCAGTTCAAATGGGTTGGCCCATAAAGGGAGCTGGAACTGGTCGGCCTACCCAGACACCAGAACTGCAGAGGGAGCTGGCACTGTTTCTCTGCAGTGTGTTCTCAGCAAGTCAGGTTTGTTTTAATCTCCACTCCTCTGCAAGTCAGCTATTTCAGGATGGCTGTCCCTGGGTGTCAAAAGTAGCCACCACTGTTTCTAGAGCCTTCAACATGTACCCCACAAGGAGCCCTTTCATTCCCAGATGCCTGTGAAGTCCCAAGCTTCGACTTGTTCTGATTGGCGGGTGCTGTCACCTGGTCTCTCAAGGGAAAAAATCACTCCCTGCAGTGTGGGACCTTGAGGGCAGGTTCTGGACTGGCTTGGTGAGGTCTTGAGTGCGCCCTTTCCCATCAGGCGTCTGTCCCATTCCTGCTGACGTGACTCTCATACGAATCCCAGGGCCTATAGGGCAAGAGAAGGCGGAACAAACCATGTCTCCAAACCAGTCACCTCCAAGATCCGACTAGTAGGAACAGGACAACAAAACAGATGTGGAGGGATGTTGTAGTGTGGGAGAGCATGGCAGCTTCACATGTGCACAGTGCAGACCCAGAGACAGGTTATCCTGGATCGACCATGGGGACCACAGCAATCCCAAGGCTCTTTTGACTGTGAAGAGAGGCAGGCAGCCAGTGGACTCATGCACTAGGAGGGTGTCAAGGGACGATAGAAAGACACCAGTGAATCATTTGCAATCATTGCTTTTGTTTTTTGCAATAGAGTCAAACTATGCCCTGTTAGCTTGGCCTTGGACTTGGGAGGCAGCAGCTGCTCATTTTACACTCAGGGTGTCCCCTGTTCTCATGACCCTGTAGAGCTACTGAGTATCCCAGTGGCCAGTAGCACAGTGCCTGAACCTCTGACTGTAGGGTAGCAGCGGGTGCATCTGTGACTCCTGCTGATCCTGAGAACTGAGTTCTAATCAGACTCCTCTGTGGGCACAAGGCCACTCCCAACAAAGCCCAGAGCTTAGCCACAGGGGGCAAGAAGGTCTGGGGGTGTTGGTTTTGGGGGAAAGGTGGGATCTTGCTTGGTTGAGGGGGGAAGAACCCCTGTGGAATATGCACAGACCAAGAAGGGAATTTAAAAGGCTGTTTCTGGAACATTCTGCCTCTAAAGACTCAGATGGACGCAGAGCAGGGTGCCGACTTCAGAAAATGGGCAAGAGGGCTGTGTCTTTGGAAAATGAGCAGGAAACAGTGGCCTGAGCTTTGGACCAGAGCATAGAGACTCCAGGAGAAATGAGATCACCCGGGGGGAAGAAAAGGTTTGATCTGCAGAGCTAG